TTTGTCCGCCTTTCAGGTTTGCGGGTTTCCGCCAGCGAGGGAATCTGGAGTTAAAGACGTGGGCGAGCTAGATCTGGTTTGAGGTCCGGTCTCAGCGGACATGCGGCCCTGGATAAACGCCGGCTAAAGGGAGGGTTCGGGGTCAGGGGAAATCAACGAGTGGCAGACCCAGAGGCAACGAAAAGGCAAAAGGGGGGTCAAAAGAAGGGGAAAAAAGGAACGGGCAGGTCTGCAGAGTGTCGGTTACCCTTCTCGCATCCTCGAGTCTCTGCCCCGTTTCTGCAAAAGACTGGCTAATAATCCCAAGCACTCGACGTGAAAAAGATCGGTTTTTTGTCGTGAGTTCCAGAGCAAAGAAGGCTTAAACTGTGGCACAGGCACGTGTGGCTGGTGGCACTTGGCGGGAGTGGCTGAACACTTGATTGTTTGGGGAATATTATCACTTTTGGGCAACTTGCTCCGTATGTACAGACCATTCTCGATCCAATTCAAACGGATTTCCTCTCTATTCGACACGATTCGGCCTTGGTTCTTGCGTTTGAGAGAAAGCCATGTCCCACACGCGGCCTGTCTTTTCGGCCGCCCAAGCCCTCCGCTCTGCATTCCTCCCACCAGTTCAAGTCCATGCACGCCGTCCAGCCATCGGATCCCTCAACATATACCGACCAAAAGGCCGCAATATCTCCTATCGACCACGCTTTGACCATTTTAACACCGAGCCTCCTGAAAATGCTCCTCGTCTAAGTGTTGCCACAACCCCTTCTCCCAACGCTCCTGCAGACAGCGCCATTCGCTATCCTATCATTCAGACCATGAACGAGGACGGAACATTGAACCCCCCGACACCGCTGCGGCAGGCTTTGCGCAACGTCAATCAATTGGACGAATCTCTTATTCTGCTACAACACCCTACCGATGACTACCCGGCCATTTGCAAGGTCTTCAGCAAAAAAACCCTTCGCCAGCAGCAATATGCTAGAACCCGAACAGCGAAGCTAAAGCTTGCAAAGCAAGTTGAGTTGAACTGGGCAATTGATCCTCATGACCTCAGCAAACGGCTGGATCAGGTAGAATCCTTCCTTGCCAAGGGGAAAAAGACGGAGCTGGTCCTAACCCCAAAACGGAGAGCACGAAGGGCAACACCAGCCGAAGGAGAGAAGGTGCTGGCGATCATAAGCGAGTGGATAGAAAAGGTCGGGGTCATTCAGAACAAACCGAAGCAGGGAGAGTTTTTGGGCTATATGCAGTACTTTTTTGAAGGGAAAAAATAGTGTGTACTCTATTCTACTGGGCGGATAAACGGCAATGTATAAGATATTTACGCGTATGACTGGACCATCAAAGCTGTCTTCAGCTGGCCCTGTCTATAGATTTCATGCGTGATCGAACTTGATATCCACGAGAGATGGTTCAAGTTCGAATGTTACATAATCTCAGGGCTGCGGTCTAATTGGCGGAAAGGCCAGGAGTGCATGACTAAGCAACCTTCTTCTGAAAAGTTTTGGCGACAGTGAGCTTCGAAGTTTCGAAATTTCTACCTTGAGACGACAGGAAGAGCAGCAGCCTTGTCAATTACACCACTTCTATCATCGATCGGATTGCCAAGATGTCCAACATCTCTAGATCTCTCAACGTCCTGCTGAGGACCAGCAGACTTTCCCTACAAAGACCTAGAGCCGTCAATCCCGTCCAGCATGTCTTTGCTCGGGATCGATTCGCAGCTCGGGGCATGGCTACGGCCTTCGAGAGAACCAAGCCCCATGTTAACATCGGTAAGCCCACCTGCAGTGCATGCTACTGTTTGATCTCAGCTAATTTTCCAAAAGGCACCATTGGCCACGTTGATCACGGAAAGGTTGGTGCCTTTCGCGAGCAGTTCCTCCCCATCACCGTCACCAACACCTAACTATGCTCACAGACAACCTTGACAGCAGCCATCACCAAGCGTCAATCGGAGAAGGGCATGGCCAACTTCTTAGAATACGGTGCAATTGACAAGGCTCCTGAGGAGAGAAAGCGTGGTATCACCATTTCCTCCGCACACATTGAATACCAGACCGAAAACCGACACTACGCCCACGTCGACTGCCCTGGGCACGCTGATTATATCAAGAACATGATTACTGGTGCTGCTAGCATGGATGGCGCAGTCGTTGTCGTTGCTGCTTCAGATGGACAAATGTATGTGGCCGATCGACATTCTACATGCCCGACTACGGCGATGCTGATATGATGCAGGCCTCAAACTCGAGAACATTTACTTCTGGCGCGTCAAATCGGTATTCAAAAAATCGTCGTTTTCGTGAACAAGGTCGATGCGGTCGAAGACCCGGAGATGTTGGAACTTGTCGAACTAGAAATGCGTGAGCTCCTCACCAGCTACGGCTTTGAGGGTGAAGAAACCCCCATTGTCTTCGGCTCTGCTCTCTGTGCCCTGGAAGGACGACGACCTGAAATCGGTAACAGCAAAATCGATGAGCTCCTGCAAGCTGTTGACACCTGGATCCCCACTCCCCAGCGTGACACTGACAAGCCTTTCCTGATGTCTATCGAAGAAGTCTTTTCCATTTCTGGAAGAGGAACAGTCGTTTCCGGCCGTGTTGAGCGCGGTATCTTGAAGAAGGACTCTGAAGTCGAAATTGTTGGCGGTAATGCGGAGCCAATCAAGACCAAGGTCACTGATATCGAAACCTTCAAGAAGTCCTGTGACGAATCCCGCGCCGGAGATAACTCTGGTTTGCTTCTCCGGGGTGTTAAGCGTGAAGACATCAACCGTGGCATGGTTGTTGCCGTGCCCGGGAGTGTCAAAGCCCACACTGAGTTCTTAGTCTCCCTTTATGTTCTTACCGAAGCCGAAGGTGGTCGTAGACACGGTTTCACCAACAAATACCGCCCACAGATGTTCATCCGCACTGCTGGTATGTACTTTGATGTAAACCTCGGATACCCTAGTGACCGCGTGCTAATTAAATGTCTTAGATGAGGCTGCTCAACTCAGCTGGCCTGGCGAAGATCAGGACAGGACCGCTATGCCAGGAGACAACGTCGAGATGGTCTGCACGACTTTACACCCGGTTCCCGCCGAGGCCGGTCAACGATTCAACATCCGTGAGGGTGGAAGAACCGTCGCAACCGGGCTTGTCACCCGTGTCATCAAATAGACGATTCGTACGGCGTTCGATTTTGCCAACACCATTTCTTGTACTCTTCTAAGCAGGCATGTTAAAACAGGAAAATTCTGGGGTACCAACAAACGGAGTCTGTGTCTGGACTGTACATCATGTTAATATCGTGTGGGTTCTTTTGTTTTTTATTTCCTTTAGTTTTCTTTACATCTCTGGGAAGGAATCTACGCATGTAACAATATGATATAGCTTCTCTCGACTCTTCTTGGTCCGTATTCAAATGAAGAAAACGACATCACTAATTCCACGGGTACCTTCTGGGTCGATTCTGGTTTCCATATCACAAAATCCAGTTTGATCCGGCAAATCCCCGATTAAGATACCCCAGTCCCAAACCCGCCTACAAGATTTATGAACGACTTTTAGACAAGAGAACCTTCATATCCATCAATTGATTTTCCATTCTTCCCTGAAATAAATCATGTGTCTCTTGGCATATAAAAACCGAAAACATTAACAGTTTCCATCCGCTAGCCTCGATATATCCAAAGTCCATTTCAAACCCCCCCCTGAACTTTTCCACCAACCACCACATCCCAAGCCACCACTTTTTACCAGTCGCAGTACTTGATGTTGATGCTCGCGGCACTAAAAGTCCATGAACCACCGTCCTTCTTGCCATGGCAAGAGTTCACAATATCCCGTCCAGCATCGATACACTGTTCGCGGCTCCGGAAGCGGCCGATTTGGCCAATGTATCCGACGCTGCCGCCAGATCCGTGGAACTGCTTCCAGTCGGTGCACTGGCCGCTCCAGTGGTCACGGCAGAATTGGACGACGGATCTCTCAGCGTCGGCGCGGTTCATGCAGCGGCGACCGCCGCTCTGGGCGTGGCATTCTGCCGCAATGGTGCCGGAGGTGAGGGCGGCGAGGGCGACGGTGACGACGGAGAGGAAATGCATGTTTGCTGGTTCTGGTTGGACTGGGTTAGGAAATGTGCATGTTTGAACTCGGTAAGGAGATAACTGTACCCTTTGGAAGATGGTTCAGAGTATTCTTCTGAGAGCTTGGTGTTTTTGTCTTTGTGTAGAATATCGATATTGGCTGAGTTCCTGGTCTTCTTCCTGTTTCGACCCGGGGAAAGGCAGGGCTATTTATCACTTTCCTCGTTGCTGCTGCCAATCCATGTATGCACATCAGAACCCCCGAGGGAGTACGGAGGAGTGTTCTACTTTCAATTCTAACTAACGCCACTCATTCTCTTCCAACGGGATAGTTACCGAATTAAGAATAGCTATATTCCAACACCATTGGATATGACATGGGTGATAACTCAACATGGCACGGTTTAGAGTACTTTTGTTTCGTATAGATCTAAGAACATTCCGAGTAATCAGTTCAGATTGCTTGACATGGAGCTGGTGATGGCCTTAACCTTACAGAACTCGCGCCCACATAACTTTCCATTCGTTCACCTGTAGGATTCGCCTACCGTGTAGATCTTCGTAGATCAGCCGTTCCTTCGGCTAGAAGCGTCGCTACATTGGAAATCCGGCGGCATTGATCTGAGGGCTGATGAGAAAAGCACAAATAAGCACTCCTTGGTCTTCAAGTAATGGGCGTGACAGCTGCGGATGCCTGCGTCTGGCGAATTCAGGAACGCCACCTGGCCAGCAACCGCAAATCCCGAACACATTCTCTATCAAAGCTTGACGCACATCAGAGGTGAGGGGTTCATGCTCGGTGATTCTCGGGCAATGGAGGGATATCTGATTGATGGGCCGGCCTCTAGCCATGGAGTTGTTAAAAATAGTATGGTCCAACGCAGTGAGCGCTCTCTGGGGAAAGCATTGACTGTGCTCTTCCAGCACAAACAAAGCTCATGCTTCCCGAATAACGTATCTGGGTCCAAGCAGATTGAGAAGTAGGCATGTATGAGGAGAGAGTCCAAGCTCTCAGTGAGTGATTTCAAATCACCCAGGAGATATATTGAAAAAGCAAATGTGAATCAGTTGACCGCAAGCCCATCAGGTATCTTCAAGGCTGGCTGAGGAGAGTGCGGAGAGTGTGATCTCTCAGCCTTCAACAAGACTGTGAGAAGCTCGTCCGTGCTCGATACGCAGATCTGCAAAGTCGTGGCGGCAATAGGATCTCCCAAATCGCGAAGAACACAAATCACCATCAGGTCTTTGCGAAAAGCGAGACATAGTGGCTGGACGTTCCACGGTTTTTTGAAAATCCAGACAAACACCCATTCGCAATTGGGGTGATGGCAAGATGAAGGCTGCATGAAGGTCGTTCTGGCTGGAGCTGTTCGGCTAAGCATTTGACAAGGGCTAAACTGATCATCCTCCCCGGACGCCCAGAAAGACAATGGGTATGCTTATTTTGGAGATATCTGAAATGGCCGCAAGAACATCTATCTCCATTTACTTTTGGCTGGTCACCTAGTTAACTAGTTAGTTACGCTCTAGCCAGACCGTTGACCTGATGATCAACATACGTGCAACTTGGATATTGAGTATTATCGCGTGTTTCTATAACTAACTGACACAGAAGCCATGCAGTGACGAAAGTCAAAGTCAAGTTCAACACGATAGCAGAGTCAAGTTACAAAAAAAGCACAAAAAATTCAGAAAACAGCTGGTGATGCGCAGTGCCCTGAGGCCCAAAGATTGAGGAATCCTTGCGCATCAATCGTCCTCTCTCCTACCAGTCCAGACTCTTGTCAACCTTTGCCTGACAGCCCGTTCCAGCCTCTCCAGACTCCCTGCTCCAGTCATAAATGCCTCCTCGCTTTACGAAGCTGTCTTCGTCCCAAAACACCTGCTTTAGCGCAGTCTCAACATCAATATCGAGAATCGAGCCCGATGGGTCTCGCCCATCCCGGTCCAAACCGCATATACTCATCCAGGATGAGATAGGACTTGGCCATCAGATTGTTCGGTTCTGCAACGAATGACGGCTGGTCCTTGTGTCGGCGGCAAAACTCGGCATACTGTTCATCGCTGATCTGAAATTTGCGCACGTCTCGAAGGGTCTTTTCGGAATCATTCTCTCCCGCCACCATCAGGACCTGGAAGCATTTCCATCGAAAAGGACGCAGTTCTGCGATCGTCGCGTTCATATCCTCGCGATAGTTCAGGTTGCAGACCACCGTGTTCAACTTGAATTTGACCCCAAATTCCAGACACCAGTCTCGTATTTCGAAGAGCTTCCTGACTTGGTCGCCGCTCCCCCTACCGATTTCGATATTCGTTTGCTCTTTGAACGAATCGCAGGATACGGCGAGAATATCGAGGTGTTTCCCATACTTTTGGAAGAAATCTTTTTTCACCAGGCTTCCATTGGTCACAATGGACACCGATTCAAGTCGTAATTGCTCTTTGCAGAATTCGACCAGGGTGCCTAAGAATTTTGGGTAAAGGAAGGGTTCGCCGCCTGCAAAGTTGATCTTCCTCATACCAGCCACTTTCAGTCGAGTGAGCCCGACCTTTGCCCTTTCATCATCTAGCTTGAATGACGTCGTGGCAGTATGGAAACAGAAGCCACAGGATTTGTTGCATTGTCTGCTAAAGTGGTAATTGACGGAAACTGGCAGGGCGGATTTCTTGTTGCGACGAGGGGCGCAGAAATAAACAGACACCGCAAGGACCAAGACGGTTATGGCCGCGACAGGGGTGAGGCCATATCTCGGGGGGACAGAGAGAAGCTTTGTCAGCACCATTATGGTCGTTTTGAATTCTCAGGCAGTCTTGAGAAGGGAATGGTATGAATAGGTTTGCGCAAAGCATGGCTAGGATTGATATCAAGCTTAATTGCTCTCTTATATATCCCTTATATCATCTAGTATCATCTAGAGATGCCAATTGACAGCTCTTAGCAGATCCATTCTTGCATCTGAACCTCCCGGTTCATCAAATTTGTCATAATGGAAGCAAACGGTTTTTTGCAACACGTACTTGCGGAATACACACCACAGGGGCAATTGGCTGTATCATTGTAACATCATTCAGGTTCAAAACCCAGGGGAATTATTCGCAATGACAAGTTTGATGCATTCTAGTCAAAGGAAGTATGAGGACTGGCAGAAAATACGCTTCTATAGCAAAGCTAAGATCGCCATGAAGACAAAAGAAGCAATACGCAGAGAAGCCAATTCAGATGTACCTGCCATGGTACGCAAACAGGTATCATTCTAAATGAAGACGAAACAAGTACGCTTCAGCCAAAAACGGAGCTTTTGTGAGGTTGGTCTGTTACTTAGCCGAGATAGCTGACAGAGCCAACGGAATTTCCCGTAAGGTGGTGCGCGAATGTATACACCTGAATCGGCCGGGTGAACTAAATGCATTCAAAGCACAACAGGTGAACCAGATGCTTGATAGTCAAACACCAGATTTTGTATCAAAAGCAATGGCCAGCATCTGCAGGTACCCAGCAAACACGCTAGTTGTCCATGCGTGGATATGGGATACCCGACAAGAGCAAACATTGACAGGCGGCATTGCCGGTCAATGAAAACAAAAAGGATAGAGAGATATATCACTGCCAAATTTCTTTGGGAAGATTCTAGGGCTGTTTAGATGGAGGATCACTGGCAACTCTCACCAAAGAGAATTCAAATTGCTTTCATATAATCGAATATAAACACTTACCTGAGCACCCCGCCACACAATCTGCTTCATATTATCACAGAAAGGGATTAAGCCTTCATCGAAAGATGTCTCACACAATCCTCTTCCTAATTGGTATGTAGGGCCGCTGGCAACTTTTGAGGGCAATTTCTGATTAGCCACCTTAAACAGGAGCACCGGGCTCTGGGAAAGGAACCTTAGGCCGAAGACTGTGTCAGGATCATAACATGTATCACTTCTCTGTAGGCGACTACATGAGAGAGATCTGTCGATCCACTGACCCGGAGGCCGAAATTGTCCGTGATCATATTAAAAACGCTAAACTTCTCCCAGGAGAAATCATGCTCCCCCTTCTGCAGCGGAAGATGAAAAAGGAGCAATGTGAAGGCGGCTATCGCGCGGTTCTCGTCGACGGGTTCCCCAGAGATTTCGCGCAGGCTATATCTTTCGAAGAAACAGTGAGTTTAAGCAACAGGCCTTTCCTACCCGCGCGTGCCCATGACTGATGGTGGGGAAAGGTTGGACGACCTGCTTTGGTGATTTACCTAAATTGCCCGAAGGACAAGGCAAAGCAGCGGTTTTTAAACAGAAAGCTCCCTGAGAGACCTGAAGATACAGACGACATGTTTGAAAAGAGATATCGTCAGCACGAAGAAAATAACGCCAGAATTGTGAATTACTATCACGAAGCTGGTATACTCGAAGAGGTATGTGTATCAAGCTGGCCCTGTGAGGTTCATAACCTAACGCACAGTCAGGTCGACTCGAGCACGGAGACCGAGATATCGTATGACACTCTGGTCAAGGCCTTGCAACAGAATTCCGCTTGGAACCAACTGTTCAAACACTGAGTCTGCCGGCGGGCAGTCTGATTCGGATTCCGGGGCCACAAAAGTCCGGCACGCGCATTTGCGCGGTCTGTGATGCTGCCATTGTTGAACAGAGGCGCGAAGATAGAAAAAATAGATAGAATGGAAATTCCCTGCCAAACTTTGATTCTTTGTTTTGAACTTTGGGTGTTTCGCTGGAGCTGTGGAAACCACATTACTGAAATAGCAGTTGAATCGACGCGCAAATTATCCCCAATCAGGGTGGTTTAATATTCTTTGCTCTTGCAGACCCATATGCGGATGTAGGTTTTTTGGTGTCTCATTTCAGCTGCTATAGCCCGACTTTGATCTAACATGTTGGTGTGGCATTGAAGCTTCTCCAATTATCACAGACACCATTCAGAAGTGCTCTAGACATGCATCCAGCAACCGTGGGCCGCCTACGGCGGTCAACCATCGAAGTAGAACGCAAATTCCGCTGCAGCGACAAGTCCATCGAGCAATTTCGCAGAAACACAGGTTCACCGCCATTTCGCCGTCTCGACCATTTGGGCAAACGGAGTTTCGAAGACGCTTATTTTGACCGCAACAAGATCCTCTCCACGAACGGCATCTGGGTACGTCAGCGGAATGGGCAGTGGCAGGCCAAAGTTCGTCCAGATGCCAAACAAGGCTCTTTCACGAATTCCCAGTTTGAGGAATTCACGAAGGCGTCCCAGATTGCGCAGATGATCCGCAGATATATCGACCCCAGCCTCGTGTCCTCGACGGGGGCGGACAATTTTGGGCTTGCGCAGATCGCTCGTTTCACGACATATCGGGAAATGTGGAAGGTCGACGACAAGTTCGATGTGGTGTTTGATCGAACTGATTTTGGCCACGTAGTGGGTGAAGTGGAACTGGAGTGTGAAATCCAAGTTGACGACGATGACGGGAGGTCACTGGTGCAGAAGCAAGCTGCGATTGCAGAGATGGATGGAGAGATTGGATTGTTCATGCGACAGTATTCGTGGGCTTTTCCTGTAGACAGGCCTGTTGGCAAGCTGTCGGCGTATTTTGCAAGGCACCAGTGACGAGAGTTTTGGGCCAGTTTGAGACATTGTGCGGACCATTCTCTGTTACAATAGCAACCTTATAGATAGCCATTGATGCTCGTTGTCGTCGAATTGGAGAGTGGCATGCAGGACAGATTCCTCAACAACGAAGACATGTGTATTATGCGGCGCTCCGTTCGGAATCCTCCGTAAGTGCAGATAGCCATCATCCCCACCTCGTACGTCAGCGACTGCGAATGGGATGTTCCATCAAGATGGGCTCCTCGCTGGCAGGGTTCCGACAGGTCGGATCGGCTGCAAGTCTTGCTCTGATCGATCGAGTGGGAGGCGGCCATGCTTGATTCCAGCGATCGGTTCCAAGGCAGTCGATTGTGATTCCACATGAAGGCAAATGCGCAGTTACACAAGACACCCAGCGATGCCAGGAGGAGCCTTTTGATCCTGGAGAGAACGACGCCAAGACGGTATATCGGTCAGGGTTTGGGGGTTCGGTCAGTCCGCAGAGGCTGTGGTAGGGACGGGGATGCTTTGAAACGCCTTGATAATGGAGAGAGAGTCGCGGTGAAGCCGTCCGTCGCATCGCATCTCCCCATCTCACCATCTCCAGCGGTGGCCGAGATTAGCTCCAGGGGGCGGCGGGAGCACGGCATAAGGCGTTGGAGCCCGCAAATCACGGAGACGATAGCTCGCGCTGCGTCCTCCTATTCCGCATCCAGCTAGGTTATGTGTGCTTTTTCCTGCCTCTTCTCTCGTGGATTCCAAAGATTCCTCGCAGGCCAAACTCTCGTCCTCTTTTGTTCTTTTTTTTTTCCCTCTTGTCCAGGGGTTGAACTCCCAGTCTCCCAGTGCTAGAATCCGCATGCAGATTTAGGTTGTGCATGATGCGGGCTTGATGATTTGGAATCTTTGTTAGGCGCCCCCCCCCATCTTAGTGATCTTGGAAGCTTCTTCACGAGGGCCGCTTGGTACATCATTTTGGCGCGAAACAGCCGGGTTTGAAAGGACAGGCGACAAGACAAGGAAGAGCAGCGCGCAGAAATAAAAAAAAAAAAAGATTTGTCAAACATGTCGACGACAACCTTGACGGCGTCGCTGTGGCAGCGATCGAAGAAGAAAATTCCGCTGCTTGGGCGAATTTCGAAACTGAACAATGGTGAGCTCGCGCCCCTTCAATCATCCGGCTCCCTCGAGTGTATTATTATAAGCTTCTATTCGCTGCCACGGCTTACACGACCGGCCACGGTCCCCATCTCATCGTCATCATCATCGTCTCCTCTCTTCCGGTGAGAGTCCCGCGCGGCACGGGTCAGGTCGTGGTCTCTTCTGCTCCACCGGCCCTGACCGTGTTACTATGCGGCATCCGTGCTGCGGCCTTTCTTTTCTTCGCCAACGATGCAAATCATAATTGCTCAATGTTCCGTGGCACATGTCATGTTTTTCGTTTATGGATCCCCTTGGGAGCGAGAACTTGTTCGTTATAATGGCGTGTTCCTGAAGCGTTTGTAGGCACGATCGTCGCTGAGGACCAAGCCGACGCAGCCAAAGCTGCCCATGCACGACGCCGGGAACAAGTCAGGAGAGCCCAGCGGTGAGTGGAATCACCATTGGACGTTTTGAAATCCAACCCAGGCTCTTACAGTTGCATTGGTGCCAGCAACCATCGCGAAAGAAAGGAAACGTATATCAAGGCCCTCGAGCAGGAGTTCCGCACCCTGCGCAATGAGGAAGACTCCATCGTAATGGAAACGCAAAAGGTAGCGGACGAAAATAAGATGCTTCGCGACATCATGCGTGCGAACGGACTCGCATTCCCAGGAAAGCCGCTAGCTCCAGGCTCGCAGAACAGGCCGCCCACGATCGTCAAGGTCATCGGTGACCCGGGCGCCGACCAGCGCCTGCAGGTCGCGGTGGACGGCGCCTCTGATATACCACGGATATTCCCGCCAGACAACATGAGCCCTGACGACCGGAAGACTACTTCATCAGACCACACTACAGCTTCTCCCCAGCCCAATATCAAGCACGAGTCTCCACAAAGCCTCTCGCAAAGTCCCCAGGATCAGACAGTGGGACCCAACCACTGCAACCATGGAAGCCATCCTTTGCCTTCAATCAAACATCCGCTTGGTTTAGATTCAACCCAAGTTGGAGTTGACTTTGTTCTCTTGTACGTCTAGTCTCCTTGAGCCCGCCGATTTCAAGGTGTCTTGCTGATTTTGCTGGGCCGGTAGCTTGGAACGCCACTGTTTACAGCATGCACGCACCTCCTGTGCAAAGTCTCCTTTCTCAGGGCATGTTCTGACGTTTCAAACGCCCTTGCTTGCCAATGGCCCAGCCACACTCCATGATAATGACACATGGGAGATTCCCGCTTGCCACTTGGATCGGCTCTTTGAGCTGGCCGGTGCACTGGATTTGGCTGGTGATATCACCCCGGTGCAGGCGTGGAATAGAATCAGGCAGCATCCCTCATTTCACAAACTCGATGCAGAAAGCTTGCGGAATCTTACTGTTTTGCTGAAAAAGGATGTTCAATGTTTCGGGTGAGTCTTGACCACATGCTTCAACTTTTATATGGTTGGTTGTCTAACGAGTCACCCCTTCTCCGCAGATTCGGAGCTGTTATTGATGAAGAGCTCTTCAACATGTACTTGGAACAAACCTTTCACTCCCTGTAATTGTCAACCATGACCACCCGCAACCTTTTGTCTCTTTTGATACCACACCTTATCATTCTTGTCTTGCATCTTTCTGGTCAGATTCCGGCATTAACACCATTCAAGGGGCATCAAGTTGGATATTGCATGTATAAAATTGTTCCCTTTGCCCTTTTTTTCTATTCAGGGATTTTCGAGTTTCACGTATTATGCATTACAATCATATCATCTTGAAGCCAACAAAGATTCTGTCTGCATTACATTGCCAATCGTTGCTTTCTTTTGTTGACATTCATATATCCCATCTTGTTACGTGCTTGGTTTCAATTGCAGTGAGATACTCTCTGGTTTCCTTATATTTCTCAAAGGCCTCCGTTTGCGCAAATTCCAAATTATGCGCGACATCGCGCCACCCACAAAATAACAAGAATTCCTCCTTCTCCATCCCATTGTTGCCCGCTTCCCGTTCACGATCGATCCTCCACCCCCCGCATACCGGTTGAGGTGCAGTAAACTCGGCAAGAGACTCCCTGCTCTCTTCAAACTTGGCCAGGAAGACCTGGGCTTTTCCCGCCTGCACGAAATGCCTTGTAATCTCCAGCGTCGGAGCTAAGACTGGCATAACTCCGGCCGGGCTGTCTCCGGTTGCAAACTGGTCGATGTCTACATGAAACATCCAATCCACGTCGAGAAGATCACGGACGGATGCTAGTATCTCCTGATTCTTTTGAGACGGTATCCATTCCTCAGCGTGTTGGGCGACAGTGGCCCAACTACCGACGACGTAGATATACGACGGGTCGTCGACTTGGGTATAGAAATGGAAGGGGTACCCGGTGAAGGATTCCATGGCAAGTTTTGCGGCGCGGAGACTAGATCGAACCGGGGCATCGTCGATGGTGACTGTGGGCTTGAGGTGCAGGAGGGCGATTTCGGTGATAGGCATGGTTAGTCGGCTTTTTGTCGGGAGAATCTCTATTGAGCCTTGATAGGTGAGGAGCGTATTTCGGCGCTGGAAGATCTCGCGGGCACAGTGTCTTTGGTCTGAGCATACAAAGGAATAGTGGGTTCCCGAAATGTCCCCTCTTGCAAGCCAGAGCCTTTGACGAAATGAAGAAAGATCGGATCTATCAAACCATCGTCAATCCATAATTTACTTTCGTAGGGCGCGCAACGTGGTGCATTATACTGCTCAGATCATGGCTGAGACGTCAACGCAGGCCTTGATGCCTGGAAGGATGCGAGGAAGAGCCGGGAACAGAGGTCATGCTGCAAAAGCACGGGTAAAGTCGGAGCGTTGTCACGTCCATCGACAGGTCGTATCGCTGCTCATCGACACCTCGTGTTCTCTCCGCCAGGCCCTCGCGCCCTTTCTTTCTGTTTCGAGTTTGTTGTCTTTGATGCCAAGACGGCGTGTCGGATTTAGCATAATCCCGACCATTGCCAAGGCTTAGTGGTTAGTCAGCGTTGGTTTACTTTCGTCCGAATTCTCGTCCGCAAAGTTCATCCGCGATGTCGCTCGTCTTGCGCGATGTCTCTTGCGTCTCAGATCATCTCTGTTGAATCGCTTGAATTGATAATCAAGCCCAGCAAAGCTTTCTGTTTTGACAGCGATGATTGCGTATGAGTAATAGTTCGAAGCGTGCTGTCTAGCACTCAATTGGACCGAACACCAAGCCGATAAAATTCAATTTTACCTTGCAGGATCAATGTCTCCGGAGCTAAAAGCACATCGGCCCTGGCGAGGTCCAGCCCTATGAGACTTGATGACTCGAATTTCATCATCGTGTTTCGGGTCAACCGTTGTCAACATGGCTGATCAAGCGGCCAATCTTGGCCGGATCGCAGCTCTGGCCATTGGACCTTGTCCAAATGTCAGCTTTCCCGTTATTTTCGTGCTAATTCCATCTAAATCCCGGGCGCTTGGTTCCATAACGTCAGGGCATAACGAAAATACCTACACAGCCGATTTGCAATCGGAGGAATTCGTCCGATTCGCGTTCTCATCATGACTCTTCCGTCCGAAATGGAGCGGGTAGAAGCTGCTGCTGAAAGAGCTGCTTGGTGCTATCAAGCTATATAAGAGCTGAATATGTGCTGCTTCGTTGCTGTTGTTACTTCTACAGTATCCAGCAGAGGATTTGAGATCCAGAGTTTTTCCAGTTTGTTTATCAAGCCTCTATTTGAAGAGACTCCTCCGGAAAGAAGACTATTTGGAAATTTCTCACAAGTTTCTTCTTTCGCGTTTTTGTTTGACGATATCCCACCATGACTCCGAGCATAGCAGACTCGGGGACTCGACGGCCCAGCTCAGTATCGTCTGATAGCACGGTGCAAGGCGATTTAGGCGCGATCCCATCTAAATTCGAAAAGTCGGGCCAACTACAACTGGATGATACCGATTTCCCCAAAGCAGACGCATCGAGCAACGAAAATGCAGCGGACGATGGCATGGAATACCCTGGCCCTTTGGCCCTCTTTTTTATCGTGATCGCACTCATTTTGGCTGTTTTCCTGATGGCCTTGGATATGACGATCGTCGCTACCGCTATTCCCAAAATTACAGAGCAGTTCAAGTCGCTAGATCAGGTCGGCTGGTACGGCTCTGCCTTCTTTCTCACAATCGCGTCGTTTCAGTCCACTTGGGGTAAAGGGTACAAATATTTCCCCCTAAAATCGGTGTTCGTGTTCTCTATCTTGGTCTTTGAACTCGGGTCGTTAGTGTGTGCCGTTGCCAAAAACAGCACCACTCTGATTGTCGGGCGAGCGATTGCCGGTGCTGGTGCCTCGGGGCTGGTCAGCGGTGCGTACACCATCATTGCATTCGCTGCACCTCCCCGTCAGCGACCGGCGTATACCGGAATCCTTGGTGCAACCTATGGTGCTGCCAGTGTTGTTGGACCTCTTTTGGGCGGCGTGTTTACGGACAAAGTATCCTGGCGTTGGTGGTAAGTTTCTTGAGCTTTGGAATCAAGATAATCCGCTAACATGGCCGAAATTTAGTTTCTGGATCAATCTTCCAATCGGCGCCGTCAGTGTTGCGATCTTGTTCGCCTTCTTTAAAGCTCCGCCAGCTGCAAGCCCAGTCAAAGCCACATTACGAGAGAAGATTCTACAGATGGACCTTGTGGGAACATCTATCATCATGGCCGCTGTAGTCTGCTACCTCCTCGCTTTGCAGTGGGGTGGTGTTACCAAGTCCTGGTCTGATGGCAAGGTAGTGGGAACGTTGGTCGTCTTTGGGGTGCTGGTCATCGTGTTTGTGATCAACGAGATCTGGATGGGTGAAAGAGCCCTCTTGCAGCCCAGGTTGTTCAAAAACCGCGATATCAAGGTTTCCCTGATCTACATCTTCTTCTTCGCCGGTCCTTTCTTTGCCATGATCTACTACCTGCCGATATACTTTCAGTCGATCAAACATGTTTCCGCCGCCCAGTCCGGGATTCGCAATCTTCCGTTTATCCTAGCTGCCAGTATCTTCTCTATCGTCGCCGGAGGACTGATTTCTACGTTCGGGCAATACTCCTATATCATGATCGCCGCATCCGCTCTCGTGACGATTGGAAGTGGGCTGATCTACACGTTCGAAATCGACACGCCGACAGGAAAATGGATCGGATACCAAATCCTGATGGGCACAGGTGCAGGACTTGCCATACAGGTCCCCGTTATTGTCAACCAAGCGCTAGTCGAGCCTCCGGATTTGGCCAGCATCACCGCGATCACAATGTTTTTGCAAACCATGGGAGCTGCTATCTGGGTCTCTGCGTCCCAGGCCGGCTGGGTGAATAAGTTACTGGACAGACTGCCCCAAGTGGCACCGAATGTGAATCCCGAGCTAGTTGTCGCAACGGGCGCCGCGGAGCTGCACAAGGTCTTCCAGGGTGACGACCTCCAAGGAGTTTTGATCGCGTATATGGATGGGCTGAAAGTGGTGTTTCTTCTTTGCATCGCGATATCTGCCGTCAGCTTTGTCGCTTCGCTGTTTATGAGGCCGAAGAACATCAAGGGAAAAGCGTCAATGGCGGGCGCGGCTTGAAGCGGACCTGTGGACTTGCATAGCGATGGCGTTTGGTGTTTGATGACTCCGCTTCTCCAATCTTGTAACTGCTGCATATGTAATTACTCCGTAATAAGTCTATAGAATTTCTGAGCGATGAATAGATCTCTGTTCCATGACTAATCCGGCTCCGACTTGATCCAGCGTATTTACGGCTACTCCGTAGCTCAATCCGCCGTTGTCCTAATAATAAGTGAAACCCTGAACTCAGCTTTGTTAACTAACTAGTTAGTGGTTAATACTAGCTAGTTGATGTTGGCTGTTACGAAAGATCGGACGAATTTCTCTCCGCTTCGATCGCCAACCCAGCAGCTAGGCAACCATGATGATGTGCTACAGGCCCGCAGCTGAGAAATCAACCGTTGAGGAACAGCTTTCCAGCAATAATAATTCGAGAAGATTCCGAATTCGCCTGGAGCGTGTTCCCAGCAATGCGGATTGAACAGGGGTTGCTCGTCTCGTGAGGTTCCGGAGCTGATGAAGGAGATCATCTAAATAGCCAGGCATTTCCGTTCAGCTTGTCCCTGCTTGAGTGGTAATTACTTTTAATGCACACATATACCCCAAATGGATCCTTTAGCGACTCACTCCGCGTCGTTCATATATCGGTCCGCGCCCGGGGCCATGCTGGACTCTCTTGCCTCAAACTACGAGCCCGAACCACCTCGCAAGAAACTCAGGAAGGGGACGAAGAGCTGTGTTGAATGTTAGCTACGCCTGTTCCGCGAAACCTTGAGCCGTCTTTCTGACTCTTGAAACCCCAGGCCGACGTCGCAAGATTCGATGCAAATTCAATGCCTCGCGGCCCGGACGCTGCGACGAATGCTTCTCGCGCGGCGTGAGCTGCGTAGACCAGGAAAATGCGCCCGTGGAGTCCTATAAGCCGCATCACCGGGGAACCGAGCCATCGTACAGCTTGCGGGAAAGAGTAGCGGTGCTGGAAGATACTGTGGAGAAGCTCGTTAAACAGCTGGGAGACGGCGACGCGAAGAATCGACGGGATGGATCGCAGCGTTCTCCCTTGGGTTCGTTTATTTTAGCCATGAAGCCGACCTTTGTGTGTATCGCTAATTGCTGGTATAGCATCGGAGTCGAATAGTGGCTATCCGACCAATTGCGCTCCTACGCCTTCGGAGTCGGCGGAGTCGTCTGACGGCCAGACTGAGCAGGCTCCGTTGTTGTCGCTTTTCAACAATCAAATTGTTTATCGATCCCGGGACACGGATAATGACAAACATGCTCTGCAGAACCTGCCTGCGAAAAATATTGCGATGCAGTCACTACTATTCTCCGTCATGCCGCCACTTTCGGATATCAAAAAGATTTTCCACAACTCCCCCAATTTCCAAGTTCATTTACTAAGGAAATATGATGAATTTCGAGATGAGAATTTGCCCAGCCTTCTTACAGATAGACCAGAGGGCGCACAAGCAGAGGCACTAGGGCAACTTGCCAAGTTACTGGTTTTTCTTGTCTCTATTGTTCATCAACTTCCTACTTCTTTCAATTACGGGGATCTCCAAGTCCCTCTCTGTCCGACCGATTTTATCGACAAGGCGCTTTCCGCTCTGGAGCGGACGGCTTTTAGCGATGAAGATATCGGGTCGACCATTGCTGGAATGGAATGTATTTTTTTCGCGGGCAAGTACTACGTGAGTGCAGGGCGACCTCGAAAGGCATGGCGCTTGTTCCGACGAGGGATCGAATTCGCACAATTGTGCGGCTTACACCTGTCCACTAACCGGCCAATCCGTCCCGACGACGTAATGGGTCGTCGTCGAGCGTTCGTCTGGTGCGGGCTGGTATGCTCCGAGAGATACTCCAGTCTCATCCTGGGACTTCCCTATGCGGTTCCTGACCGTTATGTGCTGCCTCACATCGAACATTTAGCAAACACGAACTTCATGACAGCGACGGAGCATTATATGTTTCGGATTTGTTTGTTTGCTGGCGGGATAATCGACCGGAACCAGGACCCTCGGAATATTTCGCTTTCCAAGACGCTGGAGCTCGATCAAGAACTCAACGCCCTATTGAATCAAATGCCCCAATTTTTCTCTTCTGCCGATTATGATGGAACCGTTGATGCCCTGATATGTCAGTTTGTGCACCATTTCATGCAAGTGATGGTTCACCTTCCGTTCATTCTGAACTCCGACATGGATTCGGGATCTCAATATTGTCGCGATGTCGCACTCAAATCAGCACGAAACTGCATAAACACCTACGTCAACAAGCGTCTAGGCAACGCCGAGAGCAAATTTACCGTGTGTAAAATGACCGATTTCCAGATGTTTACAGCGACAATAGTTTTAAGTGTCCATTTGCTTGGGAGATCTAATTTCCCTGAATTTACCGCAGAAGAAAATGCATCGGACTGGGAGTTGCTGAGGCAGGCCACCCAAATTTTCCGCGAAATTTCGAACAGCCCGTGCGGCTCTGTGGCGGCACAGTCTGCAAACGTCCTTGAAATGCTTTACGGTTGCTCCACGCCTGCAAAGGAATGCCGAAAGGAGCACCCGAACGGCTGCAAGGTTACGATCCCGTATTTTGGCACATTCTTTCTCCGGCCCAGAAACAGCTTCCGGCCAGGAGAACCATCTCATCAGGCCTTCTCGCCTGAAGGCACGAAGCAACGTAGTCTTTTCTATGTCGGTTCCAGTGCCCATATCACTCCATCTACATCTACCCCAAGTTCGGAAGTTACACCCCCCGAAAGGACAGGAGGGAACTCATCTCCAGTCTGGGAGGACCCGTCTGTGTCGTTTGGAAACATTCTCTCCCTGCCAAATGTAGATTTTGACTTTGGTGGAATCTCCAAGGCGGATGAAATGGGGTATTGGCGCATGGATCCCAGCTCGGGTTTGGATATCCGTCTTGATCAGGGATGGAATTTGGACTGGCTTAATCCAAATGACTTTCCGGCGCCGTGAGCTGAAAAGTCATGGATTTATAGTTTTGTTTTTGGTCTTTTTTGGGATGTCTTGTAGACCTGGGATGTGATGGCTATTCCACTTAATTAATCAAATCTGGATATCAATCGCAACTGGCAAGTTCATCAACCTCCTGCAGAATGTCATGAGAGCACTGGGAGAACATTGATATCAGCTGCCTTTCCCCCTGATTGTGTGCCATTCCCAAACCGGTTTAGCGTAACTGCAGCATCAACCTGATTGCCATCACCAGGACTGCGAAGGCGACTATTTGGATTGTTTTTCTGGGTAACTTGCACGGAGTATCCAGAATCAGACAGATGGTCTCTGTACCAAAGGCCTTTTTTTATGGGGATTGTGCCTCTATGACCTACGATCTGTAGATGTGCTTTTTCTCAACTTTGTTTCTCACTTTCTGTTTGTTGCGCGCCTGACTGCTTAAAATAAGCCACAAGGTTCTTGTTCAGCGATCCACCCCGTTTTATGTGACATTGTGTGTTGCTCGAGCTGGGTATTGTCCCTTATTTACGTTTCCAAGTTACTCCTTGGCTGCTTTCCTCTTTGGAGGACAGGGCGACAGGAGCTGCAACCATGGTGTCAAACGGACATTTTGCATCTGCTGGGGATGACAGCTTTGCAACAAGCTACGAACATGGAGTGCAAGTGGTGGATGAGGACAAGGAGTTCAAGTATGTCATTCTCTCTGTTCACAACGCAAAGGGTATCTAGCCCCTGAGATTATGCGCATGCGACTCTAACCCGTCTTATGTACTACACTGCAGTCGCAACCTCTCCAAATACCTCGCCTACGAGAATGTCACTCCTGCGGGATTCAATTACCATCTGATTTCGGTCTTTGGCTCTCAGTCTACCGGGAAATCAACTCTGCTCAACCACCTCTTCGGCACACACTTCAGCGTCATGGCGGAAACCGAACGGCGACAGACGACAAAGGGCATTTGGATGTCGAAGAACAAACGCCAGGAGCCCCAACGGGAAAATAGCTTGCCCCACGTGCAGAATCCGAATATGGCTGATAACATCCTTGTGATGGACGTTGAGGGTACTGACGGACGGGAGCGCGGAGAGGACCAGGACTTTGAGCGGAAAAGCGCACTGTTTGCGCTTGCGACCAGCGAAGTGCTTATTGTTAATATTTGGGAGCATCAGGTCGGGTTGTATCAGGGTGCAAACATGGGACTTTTAAAGACGGTGTTTGAGGTTAATTTACAACTGTTCTTGAAAGACAAGAGGTATGCGGCCCCCATACACACTAAGCTCTGCAAAATGGTTTGTTTATTAACTATTTTTGAAGGTCTTCCCCGCGGTCGTTGCTCTTTTTCGTCATCCGTGACTTTTTGGGCACTACTCCACTTCAGAATTTACAAAATACCTTGATGCAGGACCTCCAGCGCATTTGGACATCCCTGTCGAAACCTTCAGGTCTCGAAGATTCCAGGATCGAGGATTATTTCGATTTCGAGTTCGCGGCCCTCCCTCATAAGAATTTTCAGCCAGATAAGTTCGTCGCTGAAGTGAAGAAACTCACGCTGCGTTTCCGCGAAGGGCATCGGGAACCGTCCAAACACAACAAGACAGAAGGCGGGATATTCTTGCCGGAATACCATAGACGTATCCCCGCCGATGGCTTTGCCGTGTACGCTGAGGGGATCTGGGACCAGATTGTGAACAACAAGGACCTTGACCTTCCAACTCAGCAAGAGCTGCTCGCCCAATTCCGCTGTGATGAGATATCGCGAGAAGTTCTTGTTGCATTTGACGAGGCGATCGTTCCGTTTGAGACAAAACAGGCTGAAGCGGCGCAGTCTGGGAACCCTGAAGTTTTGGGTGGCCTCGGTCCGGCGATGAAGAATGCGAGAGCCAAAACCGTGAAAGGCTTTGAGACAGAGGCAAGTCGGTATCATAAGCGGGTCTATCAAATGAAGAAGGCGGAACTGGAGGAGAAAGTTGACACTCGCCTGAAAGCGCTGTTTGCAGGACAACTTGCCGCTGCTCACAAGTCGGGTATATCGCAATTCAGCGATGCTGTTACCGCTGCCGTGAAAGCTGGACAGAAAAAAGGGGCAAGTTACGATTTCGCTGATATCGTAAGCAAAGAAAGGAAACTCGCATTAGAGACGTTTGAAAAAGACGCCAAAGCGACGGTTGTTGACGGCACATCTTGGAGCAACTACACGCAAGAGCTTGCCCTTTACCAAAAGGATTTGGAGAAAATCAGTGCACAGCTTCGCAAGGATGAAATGAGACGTCTGGCGACTAGAGTGGAGAGATGGGTCAGATCTCGACTAGGCGAGTCGGTGGGCCTGGAATTCAACGCTCTTGGTTCAGGAAGAGGCGGTTCTGGCGCGCCCGAGACAGGAGATAAACCCTCAGAGGATACTATTTGGGATAGAATATGGTCTATCTTCGTTGATACCGTTCTTGATGCTGAGCGGAGGTTCACCGAACGTGCGAGCAGCTTTGACGCGAGCTTGGAGGAAGTTGATGTTGGACTATGGAGATTGCGTCGAAAGGCGTGGGGCGTGTTGCGGTCCAAAATCGACGAGGAGATGATGGAAGGGAATCTGCTCTTGAAGCTGCGAGAGAACTTTGAAGACAAATTCCGGTACGATGCTGCAGGAGTCCCTAGGATATGGAGGCCTACAGATGATATCGAGGGGTTGTATACTAAAGCACGGGAATCTACGCTCACACTTATCCCGCTCTTGTCTCGATTCCGCCTTCGGGAGACCGATACACCTCCGCAGCTGGACAGATGGGTTGGATACACACCCAGCTCTGCAACTCCAGCTGATGAAGAGGACCTAGCCCCGATTGGCGGAGTGGACGATGATGGCATGAGCCTGGAGGAAGAAATGACTATGCTGAGCGAAAGTAAGAGGCAGGATCTGACAGTACGGTTCAAAAAGGCGGCCGATGGCGTGTACGTTGAAGCGAAAAGAAGCGCAATCGGCGGGATGACTCAGATCCCAGTGTACTTTTATATTCTTCTGTTGGCGCTTGGCTGGAATGAGATTGTTGCTGGTAAGTTTGGTTTTTGGATGCACCTGCGGCCGATGTTTGTGCTAACCGTGGATGTCGACCAGTCCTCCGCAACCCGCTGTATTTCTTCATGCTCTTCCTCTGCGCGGTCGGAGCCTTTGTCACTTATCAGTTGAACCTTTGGGGTCCGATGATCAAGATGGCGGAGGCTGCTTCGCACCAAGCGTTGGAGGAGGGTAAGAAGCGACTCCGGGACTTCCTCGAACCCTCAGAAGCCGGCCCTCATGCCGCGCGATATAAGAACAGCACTGAGGAGTACGAGATGTCTAATGTCAAAGCCCCGCAAAGGACCAATTCCGGAGACGATGACGACGAAGACGAAGGATCATGGTAACAACACGGGCTTTTTGGTTATTCTTGTCTATTCGTGTTTTGTAATAAACCTGGATAATTGGATGTATACATAGTTGGATTGCTGGTCAAGCACCAAGCACTTAGATACAAAAAAGGTACCGTCTTCAAGATGTGCCCACTAATACCATCATCTCCTTGCTGCCAAAGCACACGAGATCTCCAGCGCTGGCTTGATCAGATGATGAAACCTGGTTTGGCGGCACAACATTGCAGCAGCAGGAAGCGCATTGTCAAGCTGGTGTGGAATCATCGGCATCCCTGAACGGTTCCAGTCTTCTCACTGGACAAGGCTGGGGGACAATGCGCTGGGCTGGAATATATGTCCGCGGAGGCTGGTGTCTGGAGAAGAAATCCAGCGAGCAACCGCTAGTTAACTAACTAGTTCTAGATCCAATCTGCTGTGGCGTCACTGCGTGCTGGCAACTCCCGAGCAAACACCGACTGTCGGGCAAAACCGCCAGCGAGAAGAAAAAAGAAGTCATTCATTGTCTCGACGCCGCTGTGCTGCAAATCCCGAACAAAAACCAAACGCAATAAAAAGACTGCACGCGGGACTCACTGCCCAGGCACAACAGTTACAACAACACTTCACTTCACACTGAGCATCGCATCCATCTTGCGGTTATCGATTCCCTGGATCCAAGTGCCAGAAAGTACCGAAAATTCCTGTCCAGCTCGACGTCATACGGAATCCAGCTTTTTCTACCCCGGATTGTTCGCTCACTCGCCTTCCCTTGAGACCTCTGTCTTTCCACTCCATCTCTGGTCAACCGTCGCTTTTCTCGCCAAAATGAAGATACTCACCAAGGAACAGGAGGATGCACACTACAAGTTCGTAACGCCCCAACCCTTTCCCACTCCTTGAAATCGAAGGGCTGACAGTAACCCGTAGCGCCGTCCTCAAAGGCGGCTCTGTCGGTGGTGTACTGGGCCTGGCGGCAGGGTATGCCTCTGTGGCCCTCGCCTCCCGCCGCTGGGCCACCATTCGCAACCTCACGCTCCCCATGAAGGCCTTCCTCGTCACCTCCGCCGGCAGTTTCGCCGCCGTCATCGCGGCCGACGTCAGCTCGCGAGACTTTGATTACAGCGTGCACCAGGAGAAGCGGCTGATGAGCGAGCGACAGGCGCGCATGCGTCAGGAGGAGCGGTCGAAGATGACGACCATGGAGCGGGTGCTGGACACGGCGCGCAAGGAGAAATACAAGATTATCGGCCTGACGTGGGCGGCGAGCATGATCGGCTCGTTCGCGTTGGTGGGGCGCAATCCGTACCTGTCGCCGCAGCAGAAGATTGTGCAGGCTCGTGTGTACGCGCAGGGCTTGACGTTGGCTGTGATGTGTGCCACGGCAGCGTTTGAGATTAGCGACCAGCGCAAGGGTCAGGGTGTTTTGGACTCCTTGAAGGCGAAGAAGGAGAGAGAGGCGAGGGAGGCTAGCAAGGTCAAAGATGGGGATGACTTGTGGAAGGATATGGTTGATGCGGAAGAGGATCGGATCAAGCGCAGGGAAGAAAAGGCCAAAGCTGGACATTGATTCGGAATTATGGAAGAATGGATTCTATACACCACCCGTCACCGGTCCTTTTTTGGGATTACAGATGCCTGTGATAGGTCCTGCTTCTGCACTTTGGCTACGCTCGAATCGACGATATCGACCGCTTAACGATTCCTCCTCCACGCCGGCGACGGAGATTTCTCAAAATATGTACACTACCCCGATTCCTTGATGTCTGGCTTGATCGACTTGACTATCACTCTCTCCTCATTCTCGCTTTTCTTTTTCGCGGCAGCTCTTTGAATCGTTGCCCCGATGAACATCTCCTTTGGATCAAAATGGCGTTTATTGGGCTCTATATGGAACCTACGGTGGTATTTTGTTTTTACAGCGCGTCTTTGATGTACGGTTTTTGAAAATGCATTTTAAGAGGGGCTGCATTAATAGTTTTGAATTTCGAGAAAATCTGCATTCTTATATTTTCCCCTTTCTCCTGGATTCACGACTGGCTTTTCATACCGAGAAAACAAGAACGCTGGTGTCATGAACTCTACAGACAGGGTATTGCATTCGAAGGGTGGTTATTCTCTGGTCGCGGAGTTGTCTCTATCAACTCTAATATTAATACTGAAATAATCTAGGCAGCTCTATCTATATTTAGCTGAATCTCGAAAACAATAAACAGTGGTATAAAGATCTTTAAATATCCAGAAAAAAAAACAGAGGCCACAATCGCTCGTCAAACCAATGTCGCTTCCTCATACAACTTTGCATCCATGTTGATGAATCCTCGTACAGTCTCCAGCCCGCGTAATCTCTCCTGCTCTATCCTCTCCCACGTCCACAAAGATCCGTTCGACACCGATCGAGTTTTCTTATCATTCTCCAACACCGCTTGATCCAAATTCGTGCTCTCTCCCAGCGTCAGGACTTCCCTGATACCCGACTCCTCCAAGCCATCTTCGGCGTTTATTGCCTCCCCGCTCGCCGGCGTCTCCAACGACGACGCGGTCACTGAAACTTCTCCGTCCGGCCGGTCAGGCAACAACCCACTCGCCCTCAACACCTTTTCTGGACGAACAGTCAACCGGCCCTTTTTCGTCACGTATTTGCCCAAGCCCACCGCGAGTAAAGTCTTGCCCTCGCCCTTGCGTTTCTCCGGCCGCAAGAAGAAAGTCAAGACGTACAGCCATTTCTCGTCCCATCCGGCAATCTTGCTCTGCATCTCATAGAGTTCATAAGGCTTGATCTCCTTTTTAAACGTGCAATACACGCTCCCCAGCATCACGGCCAGTCTGCCGCGGGGGTACTTCCGCTTCCCATGCTCGTCGATCTCTCCGTCCATTTCTTTCTGGAGAATTGAAAAGCCGGGTGTATACAGATTCGTAACGAGCACGGTACGAGCGACGTCGAGATCAGAGAAGTAGGTGCTGTTCGACTTGTGGCAGTTGTAATCCGTCTCCCAGAGCGGGGCACGGCTGGTTACGCTCGCGGGGATGAAAATGGGGTGGAGATGTGGTTCTACACATGCTTGGTTGTTGGCCAGGAGTTTGGGGTTCGGATAGACGTGTCGCTTTCCAGCTGATGCGTCGGAAAAGATGGAAGAACACACGAGCCTACTCATAGCAAAGTCCAAGTTAGTCTCATTCTCCATTGCGGATTGGGTGGTCGGGGGTCTGCTTATGAAAGGCTGAGCCGTACATGCCACGAGAAAGGAGCGGACTTGAGATTAAAAAGCAAGTATATCCAGACGGCGTTTGTCCATGTGCATTTGGACAGGAAACCATTTTAAAATGATTGTCAAGGTCGCTAGACGAGGGGAAGAACAGACGGCCATTGCCGCATTGATTGATCACTGGCAGCTCGAATCGCACCGACGCTGTTCTAACGTACAGACAGGGCACAGAAGGTAGAAGCACCGGAGAAAAAGGAGTGTATTTTGAAGATAAGAAGGGATTAGAAGCTGATATCGAGTTCGAGCCTGAAAGTACAGTGTCGCGCTATCACCTCCAACCAAACGAGAAAGACACAGAGTAAAGGAGTGAGCCCTGCACCGGTGCGATGAGACGGATAACAAAAGACAGGAGGAGCGTTGAACGATTCCGCATGGCAGAAAAAGTCCGCGAATTCCGTCAGAATAGGGTTTGGCCAAGGTTTGTAGCGTAAACCTTCGCTTCAGCCGAGGCTGAGCCGCTGCATCTGAAAAGACGTCATCGCTACGGAGTATCAGATGGGATAAGCTACAATGCGTTTTCTTAAATTTGCAACAGGTGTGTAGCTAGTAGTGCCTCGAGCCTGGAAATCCGACCGAAAGTGTTCTCCTAAACCGAAATTCGATATCTATGTCCCCGATCACTCCAGTTGCTTTCGCCTTTCTGCACTATCGTTGAACATGGACGGCATGGGAATATCAGCTGCAGCCGTCCATTTGCGACCGGACCAGGTTTCTTCGTTAGGTTTCTGGCCCGATGCTTGAATGGCATATGCAATATCTTCAGCTTTAGACCACACCCGAAGCAGATTTTCGCCGACCAGCTTTCGTGCTTGTTCATCTGTTACTCCCCGCTCAAGCAGGAGCTCGACGAGTCGCGGATACTTGGACACGTTCTGTACAATGATTTAGCCTCTGATATAACCCGACGCGCCTCTGGACGAGACTGGAACTGGAATTACTGACCTCAAGGCCTTTAGGAACAACGGCAGTACCGTCAAAATCCGATCCGATGCCAACGTGGTCCCATCCCGCCACTTTTGCGACGTGAAGGATGTGGTCGACTGCATCGTGGATCGTCACTGAAGCAGGATCATTAACCTTTAGGAATAAAGGCACAAAAGTTACCATGACAACACCACCATTTTTGGTGACGGTGCGCAGCACATCGTCAGGCACATTCCTCAGATGTTTAGAAAGCGCGTAAGAAGACGAGTGCGAGAATATCACCGGGGCGTTTGTCACGGATAGCACGTCTCTCATGGTCTGGTGGGAGACATGCGAGAGATCAATCAGCATACCAAGGCGGTTCATCTCCTTGACAAATTCGCGCCCAAAGTCCGTCAGGCCATGGTCCGGCTTGCCAGCGGCAACGGTTGAAGCAGCAGTCGCAAAGGCATTGTCGCAATTATGGGTCACAGTGATATAGCGCACACCAAGGTCATGCACCTGTCTTAGCGACGCGAGTGAATTTCCAATTTGATGTCCTCCCTAGAGACCACACCGTGAGTTTCACAGCCATACTGTTAACGAGTAAACCGAACCCTCTCACCTCGATCCCCAAGAAACTGCCAACCCTTCCCTTCTTAAATGCTGATCTGGCGCAAGATGCTGTCTCACAGTATTCGAGAAGATCGGGATACTCGTCCACTAGCCTTTTTGCGACATCGATTTGCTCGAGTGTGTCTCTAACCGCCCACTGTATCAATTGCGCATGTTTTTTAGCACTCAACCATCCCGGATATACGAAACTCAAAGAGTCCACTGGAACGAATGGTTCATACCGATGGGTCATCAATCCCCGCTGAAGGGTCCGCCGGGCACTCAACATACACGCTCCAGAACTGCCCTCCAAGCTTGCCTTGCCGGATCTTTTTGGCATCCGTATGGCTCAGCAACCCAGCTTCAAACGGGAGCTTCTCATGGTCGTAGATCTTGTTCTTCGTCTCAAGCCGAATCAGGTACGGTAGATCGTTGTGCCCATCAATCAGAGGCGTCGTGGAGAGGATTCGATCCGCTCTGGCAGCATAGTCGTGCGGGTCTATAGGCTGCAGCGATCCGGCTCCAAGGATGGAGCCCAGCGGGAATATGTACTTGGAGAATGTTGCCGCGCCGGCCGCAATGAGCAAGGACATTGTCAGATTGCGGACCCAGGTTCGTTTTCTGGACCGGCTTGATGGAGGACTGAATTCTTTAGATGACCTTGGGTACCCTTCCTGGACGGGCATTGGGCTTTGCTTAACATGGTCGCGGGTCGACATGGTGGATGTGCAGCTTGTGTAACATTACAATCGCGGGTAGTTCAAATGTGATGCTCCAAATCTCAAAAGAAGAGAAGGGCACGGTTAATGAACTGACTGTGTTAGCCGTTTGTTCAAGCGGGGGAAAGCTCTTGTTTTCGGCCTTCAATTTGGCGCTCCAATGAGCCCTGCAACAGGCCGGTCCCGCCAAAAGGACGCCCTTGTTCTAGGCAAACTCTGGACAGCCGACCCCGAGAGTGAATCTGAAGTTTGCGATGCCGGGATCCGAGTGTGGAGTAAAGTCCATACCAATAAATAGAAAATCTAGATAAAATCATTTATGAAATCCATTTAGAACAGAACGCCCCTTATCGTACCAGACAATACATGACACGCTAAATATTCCCTAGAAGTTCAACAACACCAAGGATTCAAAGTAAAATGGAAAATGGCAAGGCGATTTCTGGTCTATTATCGTACAAAACATACCGTGATCCAAGCCGGCAAAACAACAGCATGAAATCAGCAGTACAGAAGACTTTCGTGTTTCGACGCGCATGTGCGCGGTTGGCAGCATTTCTTCTATCCCAAATCAAACAGTGATGAAGAAAAATTTTAAAAGCATTGGATCCCTCGTGAAGATCCATCCACTTGCTGCTATAAAATATAGCATCGCCCAGGCTTGTTGGCGACATCGGAACTGATGTCTTTACGCTCCGCAGACTCGCTAGCTGAACTAGCTCCAGCTAAAGGTCCGATTTCTTCCTTTTCAATTGGAACTATAGGCGGCAACACAACCGCGTCGACCGCTCTATGCCCCGCGGATTTTGTTGATTTAGACAGTTGCGCTTCTTGATTTTGTGGCAACTCCAGTGCCTCCTGCTCAACCTGAGGATCAGGCGAGTTTTGCTGCAGCGGAGGTTGTTGGGCCTCATGTTCCGTAGGTTGCCTACTTTTTAAAGGAAGCGGAGCTGTCAGTTGTTTTGCCAACTTCGACATCGGCCTCGTGGCTATAGCCTGCTCTGGTGTCCCTCGATGAACTTTGCCAGTAGGCTCATACGTCTTCTGTGGTGTTTGTGCTTGATCCTGATCTTCAGTTGTAGAATCCGGATCTTTCTCGGCAAATAGCGACGACTGGTCCTCCGTCGTGACCTGACTGGATTCCAACTGCGTGTCGGCTGATTCGACCACCACCTTTGGTTCGGGGCTTTGCCGGAATTTTACACTCGTTTCACCACCTTTCGCCTTTCTTTTCCGCAAATTCTGAACTGGTTCCGACTTGGAATTGGCTTCAGCCTCCCCGTCTTTGCCAGAGCTAGGATTGTACGGGGTTCGATCCACTGAACCCCCGACTGATTTTGGCACGGAGCTTTCCAGTAGTTCACTTTCTTCATCCATTTTCAAATCGGATCCTGAGCGTCTCATATTATTAAAGTCCAGAAGTCGTTGTTCGTTTTCTTCATTACCGTCAAAAATGGTGGTAAATGACTCTTCAAACAGTTCTCCAACGAGGGTCTGGTTTGCACGGTTCTCACTGGTCATGATGTCTATAGCTTTTTTCTCCCTCTGATTTAGTTCTTCTCGCAATGACTTTATTTCGGTCAGCTCAACCTGTAACCGGTGTTCTAGGAAGTTCATATGCAGCTCCTGCGACCTAGCAATCCTCTTCAACTCAAGGTGTAACTCATTCAATCTGCACTCATTCACATTATCGCGAACCATGCCAGTGAACAATATAGCATTATGGATCATGTGGTCGATTCCCCTGATGCTAACAGGCATTCGATGGACTGTAGCATGGCGAAGACCACACAAGGAGGCGAAGACGGACGAAATATCCGACTTATACCTATTATCCACAGCAGCGTCGGGAAACTTCTCGAATCGATGATAAAAGATTCCAGTCCATCTATTTAATTCAAGGGCTTCAGGGCAATCCCATCCCCTTTCTTCAAGTACCTCAGCTGCCCATTTCGAAGTGAATTCAAAGCAGCACCCTTCGAGCAATGCCTGCATTCTAGAGAGGATGAGGTGCTGGACCCGGTATGGGAGGTATGACGGGTATAATGTCGGAATTCTTGTCCCAGAGATGGTCGCAGGAGTGCGGTTCACATCAAAATTGCCGTAGTTGATCCTTCCCAGGGATTTGCATCTGACCCTTTGGGGTTTTGCGCCTTCACCTGAATTAACTTCGGTGCTGCTCGATTGGTCTTCTTTTGGAGAAGGCTCCTGGTCCGACTGGCTTAGGTCCTCAACGGCTTCCAGCTCTGAAGTGCTCGCGGCTATCTCATACTGAAGATGAAGCGCGTCTTCATTAGGTGGAGTTTCAAACAAAGTTGGAAATGTCCGCTTAGCCCTTTATTTCGGAGTGGAAAAGGCCTTGGTCCCCGAACCTTTTGAGGACGTCAACAATTTTCGTAACTCCAAACTTGTTAACCAGAAACGGGGCGGCATTCGGGGAACCTTCAACCAGATTCCCTAAGATACTTGGGTTTCCGTAGGTTAAATTTGCTTTTACTCTCTAAAAGCGGCCTGTACATAAGAAATATTTGTTGTTCATTCAAAGATTCCGGGGACTCTTCATTGGAACTGTTACTCTCTGGCTCTTGTGTTTCATCCGTAGCAACGCCCTGGAGATGGTTATTCTCATGCCCTGGTTTTAACTATGGGGAATGTACCTATCTCCAATCATACTTACACGCAGGTGGAGACGGTATGGCTTGCGAGGTTGATTCACAACATGTCTCCGCCTAGACAACGCTGCTACTGTACTAGTTGGGCAAGACCATGTCGTTTGTAGCCGTCTCTGGACATTTATTTTGGAAGTTATTACCCGCCCTCGCCCAGGAAGCGGTTGACGGTAGAACTACAAAGGCATTCAGCAGGGGTATTCGAAGGTTGTGGGAAGAACTATGATATTGGGATCATTATGCGGATCCTCCGCAGGCCGCCCTCTGAGCTGTTCAAAGGGCAAGAAAAGAAAGACTAAGAAAATCCTGATACCAGAGTACCACGAAGAACTTACGGGTATCATTGTTCACTGGAGCAAAAAGGCCGAATAAAAACAGAAAGCCATGTAATACCCAAAGCCCAAAAACGCCAGTCGCATAGGAAGGCTGTAAGAACTAAAACCAGTAAATAATAATATGGGAGCACTCCGTACACCGGGCGGCTGTGGTGCAATTGCTTCAACCCGCAATCCTCAGCTCAACATTCTGATGAAAATTACGAAGTAAGAGGTTGGCTAGTTAGAGTTTTGCGGCCACCGGTGCTGAGTCAGAATTCAGTTCCCAAATGCGGTTTGCCCTGCAGGGCAGCTAAGCCTAATTTGAGCCATTCAAACAGGGCTAGATCACATTTAGCCAAGCTAATTTCCTGTTTTGGCCATATGAAACACATCGCGTCCAGATTGAGCCAGTGTCTCCTGTGTTTTCGGGTTAGTGCACCAAGACTATTCTGATTCAGGCAAGATCCGCCGTTCGATCATTTGTGTGGAAGCCTCTGTATGGTACTCCGTAGTAATCTGGCCTGGAATTAACACATTCAAAAGTATGGAGCTGAGAACTGATAAGGTGGCAGTGAAAGGGCTGCAATATTGTTGCCGATATTTTGCTCTAAAACGTCACCTCCTTCGAGTTGAAAAGTTTCTATTGCAAACAATGAAGAGGTCCCCCAAACTGACTTTGCGCAGTGCAAGGCTGGTCAGATCTGGGAATTTGAGCACCAAGCAACCAATGATCAGGGGCTTGAGGGGAGAGAGAATATCAGGGTCCGAATCGACACCAAGAACAATATCATAGTTGTGTCGTTGTAAACTAATAATTCATAGCTTGATGTTGCAAAGTCCAGTTATCTTTTTTTGACATGTCGTAGGGAAGACAACAGCTTTGATATTCTAGGTAATGTTCAGTGTACTAGTCGTGAGACCGGGATATTAAGAACGCGTCCTTATTTTCTTGTATCATTGAAAAAGAAAAGAATAATATCATCCTTCATTGCTGAGTTTTCCGGGTCGTAGATTGGCTGGGCGATTGCACTGCATGCAGTTACTTTCATCACCCAAAGATTGTCCAACACTTCTCTTTGAAATTGTATTCTATGGGGGTTCTTCATAGTCGTGAAGTCGGAAGTGTGGACAAGGAGGATATGGCGTGTCGATCACAGTGCGACTTGTCATGAGTCTTGTTGCTTCATCCTGTCTTCTGCAAATAATTGGTTTGGCGGGAGGTAACTAGGCTCAGATGTGGGAAATCTGACACGCTGCCAGCAACATGAGAAAGAGCCCATGATACCTCTACTGTGAGTTGCACACCAAGCACGCTCGGAAAACTTATGAGATTTAAGCCTTAACATTGCAAGCAACATATCAACAGACGCTAGGTCATCGAAACATACCATTATAGTTACCCTTCAGTACACCAAATCCGGATAAGGAAAGGAAATTAACAAAATCCATCCCATGATCTTGCCGAAATCCTCCCTTAATACGTCGACGACCCTGCTTAACTGGTTTAATGGGCAGTATGCGTAAGGCTTCGTCACATTAATACCGGTATCTCGTGGAGTAATCTAAGCCATTCACTTTGATTAGCACTCACCCCGCAACTGGGATTGTTGGGGAATATGGAATCGACTAACCCTTTGGACTAACAACCAAACCTCTTCCCTTCTTCGCCCCTCTGTAGATGGCCTCGATAATATCGATCAACTCTTGTTTGTCTTCAAGCACCCAGTTCAACTTGTTGTTGTTTCCTGTGCCAAAGTCGCACATCATATGTTTATTGCGGAAAAAGAACATAATCGTCATCGGGTCGTAGAGCTCGTACATTTGTTTGAAGTCCGGCACCTGGTCGATATCGCAGAGATAGATGACAGCGAAATTTTTTACCCGGTCTGCGACTTTGTACAGGACCTCATCTTGGGCCATGCCTGGACGAGAGTTAGATGACTGGAAACTGATCAACAGATCGGGGTGGTAGGGCCTACAATCTTTGTCCCAGTCGCGTCCAAAACGGATAACTACCAGCCGATCCTCCTCTGAGAGGATAGCTTGGTCAACGTGCCAGGCTGTCGGCAAGTGTGGGAGAACAACGGAACCCATGTTGTGTTGGTGTTGTGGATGGAAGACGAGTTGCTTCAATGTTCGTTATCAAGGAAGCTAGAGCCTGGATGAACCTGGATCACATGATAACCAGCTGGCTCTCACCTCGCGACGTTCAACTTCGGGGAATCTTACTATCATCATGGCCTAATCATTAACATTGAACTGGTTTAAAAGTTCCTTTTCAGTCCTTTGATATTGAGAGCTCGGTGTATCTCAGCTAACTAACTATATAATGTACTGGAGATCAGTGGTTCACAAATCTCTTTTCTGGCTCCAAGTACAGACTATCAAGCACCAGCGCCCCGTCAATCTGGGTTTGCTCTAGAAAGAAATGTGCTCCTAGGCACCATAATTATATTGGGGTGCTTACCTGCCACCATAACAGCAGGCCCGGCTTATACAACAACGAAGCAAGGGAGCCGTTTATCGGTTCCCCGTTAGCCCCCTTTGATTATGATGATGGAATCATCAATATGGGGTAATCTTTTGTTTCCGGTGCGGCTTGCATCGTAAACTAGAAAATCCGGTCTAAACTCGGCGCTGGCCAGTCTACCTGCCCACAGGGATGTGCCTCTTGAAACCTTTTGATCTTTTCTACATCCCAACCGGCCAGCCAGCGGTTGTGTTGCGAGTCGCCATCTCCTTCTGGCTCTGCGGGGTTTCCCAAATCTATTTCCCGTACCAGGTGACATCGTCTGTGGTGATAGCTGAATTGGAGGCATTCCGGGTGGTCGTGGCAAGCTGCCCTACAAGACTCGAAGGAGTCAAGAAATTGCTTTTCGAAGGTTGCGGCGTTTGTATTTTTCCAATCTTCCCGAAAAGCAACATTTAGGATCCCAAGAAAATCGACAAGGTCGGAGAACAGTATAGGACGCTATGTGCCACATGCATGTTTAGTCGACTGTACATGGTCAAAGCTGGGTCCGACTTACACCTAGGCTCATTCCGTCCTTCCGTTTCTCTTGCAGCCATCTCCACAGTTTCAGTGTATCCGGCGCTTTGGTTCGGTGGAAGCTAATGGCGGGCTGGCACCAAGAGGTTCGTCCTAGTGGCGTGTCATGTACAGCGGCAGGGTCGAACATCGGCCATAAACCGGTCACGTTGATACGGTGCTGAGCTGCAACCCAGCCTAGAACAGAGTCCCCGCAGCAATCTCCTCTAATCATTTTCCGATACTTAGACGTCAACAGCTGCGACCCGTCCGTATTGTCCCCCGCTTGTCCTTGGAGTAGAATCTCCATCGCTGCCGCCGAAAGAACAAAGCCAGAGCCTCCATAGGCAAAAAAGCTCTTCCGTCCGCCCCATTCCTGCCCCAGCGTCCTTCCCGGGGTTGGCGACCCCATATAAAGAGGGTCGGTCCAATTGTAGCGACCCAGAAGCTGAACCAGATTGTCCCAGATAACAAATGTATCAGTCTCAGTGAACACGTACCATTTGGCATGTGGATTTTGACGATATGCATATTCGACCATTGGGAAAAACTTGTATTTATCCAGCTTCCAGCCTCCCGGAGTAGGCTTCGGCTCCTTATCATTACGGTAACAGTAATTTTCTCGTTGACGTTGGTACGTTTTTCGATCTTCTCTTGACAGGACGTTCATCACGTCTCTGATCACGTCGTGGGCGCGGAACGGACCGACTACCTGCTCCATATCAGAAACAACCAGGAGATTCGGAATGCATGCCGTGACGCCATCAACGTGAGACTTAAGCCGTTCTCGTGACTCGGCTCCTCCAATCTTCAATACGACTTGGATACCATCCCGCGCAAACGGGCTCGTCGAAAAGGTTTCGCAGTTTGGCAGTGCGGATTGATCACCGTTCTGGATCGGGCCCGAAGGACCTGACGATTCATCGATTTGCGGCAAACAGGGACTATATTTACGGACGACAAACTCGAATCGTAACCTATCAATGGCATCGGAGTAAATCACCACCACCACTGTGACAAATACCAGAGCAAAATAAATCAACCGCAACTTCCGCGGCGAGGTAATCCAGGCGGCCATTCTCCGCCCTCCAAAAAAACTGCTTGGAGCGTAAACGATAACCGGGGGGGGATCATTGACACTGGACGATCTTTGGCAAGCGAAAGCGACGGATGATATTGGGAGAAAGGGTACTTAAGACATTCGGCGCAAAGCTCATTTTTAGAAACTCCTCGCCTGGTGCCATACTCCTTTGGATCTACAGAGCATGTATACATTTTGGCTTTTTTGGCCGCAACTCGCTTTGCGTCCGGAAAAGAGCAATGGGACCGTAGTTTTGAATTGCTCTTCCAGTTCACGGGTTTAACGACCGGGCATTTCCGGGCGTGTGCCTGAGAGCGTTGGGAGCTTTGATGGCGCG